CACCTCTCATGGGTGAGGGGGTTGGATTTCAGTTGAATGAATCAAATTTTGGGGGGCATGTATCTCCTTTAAACTCTTAAATATTTCATAATTTCTATAATGATAAAAAGCCCAATTGAATATGTATAAATATGATGCCAATATAATTTGAATACCCGGCGATTAACTTTTGAGTAAAACTTTCGTTACAATTAAGAATTTGAAGCTCATTGCTGCGGAGCGACCGCAGGGAGCGAGCAGCAACATAATCAGGATTTAAGAGAAATATATAAGGGGCAACGAATTCTAGAATTCATCACTTTTTACCACAATGCATTGCATTTAACCACACTTTTTACCACAATGCATTACATTTAACCAGAGTGCATTGCGCCACGAACAACTCAAATAAAAACACGGGGAAGTTCGCATCGTTCGCTGGCTAGACTCGGAGTTTTCTTTGTAGCAAATTTTCTACAGCACGGTTAGAGGTCTTACCAAATTTAAGACACACAGGAGTCTTTCGGATGAGTACGATGATTAACTTGGGGATTGGATTTCAATTCAAGAGCCTTTGACTTGTCCAGGTGTTAAACCTGACGAGAAGATGAGCATTTGCTCTTCGACTCCGCAACACGGGGCAGATACAAATTCCAGCTTGCTAGAAGGTGATGGGAAAATGTCATGCCATGCTATTCTTAAGAACCTGTATGAGCCGCAAATGAATGTGATTTTGACCATTCGCTTCAAAATAACAGCCGAAATCGAGATAACAAAACATATGTTTTGTGTCCTACGTTGCAGACGAGGACGTGTATCGGCGTTTTGAAAAGCATAATTATGTTCTTTCATTCATTCATTACCATGGAATATGCGTTTACATTGTGTTTTTACTGTTAATAGCTCGATTAATGCGGCTGGCGGTCATCTTGCCGGCGGAAGTTTCATGTAAAAGGCCTTAAATTAAAGACTTTTCTCAAGGTTACGTAATCAGTCTCTGTGGTGTAGTGGTTAGGTGTATTCGCGTCGAACCGATGGTGCTGGGTTCGAGTCCTACCGACCTCTTTTTTTCCTTCTTTCTTTTTTTTTTCCGTTTTTTGTGTTGTTGTTTTCTATAAATATATAGCTAAATAACTGTTACTTAATAAAGTGCAATAAACAGCAAGAAAAGTATCGTGTTTCTAGAGAAAAGATAGTACACTGTATATTAAAGATATGGATAAACAATCTGAATTTGTATCATTTTTTACAATTTCCTTTGGGAAAACCAGAGTTGATAACCACTTGATCATTTTCTAAACAACGTTCCCACGAGTTCTTTCTATAGACTGATAGTAATTAATCTAGTACTTTTCAACATGTAAATAGGACATTCAATGTCATTTTCGATGCTTTTAAGTCCCACTGCCTAACTAATGCCAGTATCAACAGAATGTACCGCAGCATTACTATCTTTTAGATACCCTAGTATAATATTAAATGGGCTCCAAATTCTTATTTGTAACGAAATTTCAGTTTTATCTTCATTTTTCTTTTAGCTCCTGAAGGTTTGTTTTCAAACCGAAATATTGGGCAATTTGTTTAAATATGTATTTTTTGTTTTATTCTTTTGTTTACTTCTTCATCGCCTTGCCGTAAGGATCAGTTTGCCGCTTCATATTTTTCTACGACTTTATATAGAGCATACATAGTCTACATCTAGATACCTACTGGCGGAAATCAGTATTTACAACTATTGTGCATGCTCAGTGTGAATAAAACGATCTTCATCATGATTATCATTATTGAAATGAAATCGGGAGCTCCGCTTTTAGGCCTGGCTAAATACTCCATTTCAGGTACATTTTAGGTGTCCGCGTCCATTTAATAGTGTCCGCTTAATAAAGGTTTCATTTAATTAAATAAGCTTAACAGAGGGTGTCCGCTTAATGCAGGTTTCACTGTATCAGATTTTCGATAAAGTTCAGCTCAGAATATTTTTTCTTAAGACTGTGAAGAAGACTTGAGATACAGGATTGAACGAGCGAATGTAGTGAGAAAGTAACGTCGTTCTTTGTGTAAAGTACCACGATTTTGTCAATCTGAAGATCAAAGATATGTCATTGGTTATCGGATAATGTTATTTTTTTTATCAGATATTTAGAATTTGAAACTCATGAAGAAATACTATTCAAATTTTTTCTTTATCATTTTTTGCTTACGTCCATATTATCCCTTTGACCAAATAATTTGTTTTTTGAAAAATCTATGTATTTTCCTGTAGTTCCTGATAATTCAAACGATCTTTTGCGATCATGTGTTCTTTTCTACGAAATAATCTTTTGACGTCATTGATCACGTTTCATCTTTTATGCCCGTTGGATAAAAGGAGACGCAAAAAGACAAAAAAATACTCAACCAGAATTAGTCATAATGTCTTGACGATATGTCATCCTTAACAAATGAATCGTTTCTTCGCCTCCATATATGGACCGAATTTTTAACCCCAGAGGTTTACAGGAAGCATGTATGGAATGAATGGAAGGTGAAACTATCGAGTTGCATAAAATCAACACATGTGAATCGAATACATACATGTGATTTACATTAAAATCACTGAAAATTTAGTATTACTTTTGAACGATACTGTAGTGAAATTGATCTTAAGCATGAAAACTTTGGTTGACAAGTACGCTTGTGTATATTTTGGAAAACTGCCCTCAAAAATTGGTAATCACGTACGCAACCGATCTTGACAATATGCATTGTTTCTTTACCTTCAAATGCATTGTTTCTTCACCTCCATATATGGAAAATGGTTCCCTTGGGAGTTTACGGAGGGACACACGCGCTCAGGGAGAGGAAACGTCCATGATTGGCTCACTCGGTATGTGCCGCGCCCATTCTTTTTTGTGCCCACTACTTCTAAGCTACTTCTGCATGGTATAGGTTTATGGGATCTTCAAATTTAAAAAAATTATTCAATTTCACAATTTAGCGTCCTTAAACAGGGTTGCAATTTTACTGCAGTTTGCCTTAAACAGGGTCGGAATCGAAGGGTTTCAGCAGCACAGCCCCAACCACACTTCCTTTAAATCTTCCCCCGGAGAAGTTTTTTCCCTTATACATGACGATAACTCGGCAAAAACGGCTTAGCCGGTTTTTTTCCGAGTTAAAAATGAAAAAAAATTGTATCCTAGGTAAACTTACCAGTATTAGCTAATAACAGCCACTTTCATCTGTTTCATGGGAATGGAGCTCGTTCTGACTGACCAGTTAATCTTCTCATACATTTATTTAACAGAATTATTAATATTTTATTGTATGATTCACATTTAGCTATAACTCTAGAGTGCTGACAAATTCACGTGTATGGGCAACCTTTGTGAATTAATTTTAAAAAACTATAGATGTAGATGTAAATGCTTTCGTACAGGTCGAGGACTCAGTATCATCACATGCTAAAGACAAATATGCCAGGGTATTTCCACAGATCAGTGATTAGTTTACAATTGCAGTATTATTGTGTATCCATGATGATCTACTTGTTCCAAGAAGGAAGAGAAACAGAAGAGGGAGGAGGGAGAAATTAAGGCGAAAATGTTGGGAGGAGAGAGATATCAGGGGCACCCAAAGTCAATTTTCCGAAAATATACATTCGGAAGACGATTTAAGATCTAGAATTTTCGGAACATTTGTTGTAAAATTTCTTGTTTACCTGCCTCTCCTAGGATTTTTCGAACATCTAAAAAATGGTATAATTGCCCATTTTAACAGATTTTTACCCTAACAAGGTCACCTAGAATTTTCTGGCTGAAATTTTCGAAAAGGTAAGTTTTGATCCCTATAATTTTCGGATCACTAGATTTTCAGCTAGAAAATCCGAACAGATGAAAAATTTTTAGGGGATGAAAATATGCCTATATCTACCGTTTAAATACTAAAATACGTTTAATAATGCCATGTTTAAGTGGTTTTGAACTATATTCTCGTTGGGTGCCCCTGAGATATCGATGAGAACTAAGGTTTTCTATTCTGGCCATAAAGACGTTACCAAAAGCAACGACCATCTTTGTTCCCATGGTTGTTCCATGGGTCTGTAGGTAGTTTTTGCGCCAAAATTGGAACGAGTTTTCTGTTAATATAAGATAGAGTATCTATCTTAGATACTCGGTAGGTAAAGGGGCTTTCTCGCCATAAAAACAATCTTCGTATGCGCGACATACCGTGGTTACGCCTCTTCGTGTGGTATGTTGAGGTAGAGGCGATGCTCCGAGGGTCAGATAACTTCCTTTACGACCAAGTGCAGGAGTCGTGTGTTGCCCGTTGCCAATTTTTAAACCAAGTTTAGGAAGGAGGCAGATTGCCGCTCCTGTACCTGCCCCCTCTTCTTACTGGCAAGTTATTTCCATATTACCACATTGCCTAGCAAGAAACCTATAGTCTGCACCTATAGTCTGCACCGATAGTCTGCAACTTAAAGTACAGCCAGCACTCCTGACTCAATTATTCGTCACCTAAGGGCCTGTTTGCAAGGAGAGAGGGTTACCCTTGTGCTAGGGGTACCCTAGCAAGCGGCTTAAAGATAGCTCTGGTTTACAAGCAAATTTCACAGGCCCTATCACCCGGATCAACTTTACCAGCCTTACGGACGTGTTTCGTCATGCATGAAATTCTTTGTAACGTCCAAGATTGAAGTTCGCTATGGAAAACACGTTAAATTCACGAAATATATCATCGTATACAGATGTTTATAATTTAGTTCAGGAATTGGATAATTCCGTTCAAACTATCAAGATTACTGGTCACGTACTAAGGAGGAACGTTGTCTCGGGTAGGCGAGTTATCCCTAGCAGAGTGTTTACAAGGCAGGTAGGGTAACCCTAGCACTCAGGTAGGGTTAACCCTAGCGCTAGGGTAACCTTACCTCCCTCGTAAACACGTCGTGTAAAACAGAAGAAATGTGCGAGTGCTAGGGTAACCCTAGCTTCTCCCTCCTTGAAAACAGGGCCTAAAAGGCATACTAGGTGGTCATCACAAGATCAGCTGCTGTTGTTTTCAACACAGTTGATGCAATTGTTACTAGGTAGCCTCAAAGCTTTTTCAAGCATTGGCCAAAAATTGGGTTTAACGTGGCAGTTTTCCCAGTCAAGATATGATGTGCCCTGCAGTATTAAAGGTACGGCACAGCTCCTCAACATCACTGGCACAACTTGGTGTGAATGTATTCTTTGCAGAGCCTTCTGAAGCTCGTGGTTACACCATTCGCTGTTCACAAAATCTGGCGTCAGAACAGCAACTGTTTTCCTACTACAGTAAATTGCTTGAGAAATATTTTCTACAATTGCTGCCCCAGGAATAAAGTCTTTAAAGTCAACGCAGCAGACAAAGCCACGCTTTTCAAGCTCTTCCAGTAGACCTTTAACCCAGGTAACGTCCTTATTGCTGTAACAGATAAACACGTCATACATGGCTTTACAGTCTGAAACGAAGAGTAAAAAATTTACGTTATCAGTTATGAGGTTCATATACTAAAATTTAATATTTTAAGGACTCTGGAGACATTAGCAAGCAATTAACTAATAGTTACTGACTTTGAAAATTCCTCCATTTGTCTTGGTATTGGGGTCACCCTGGACACATTGGTATCTGCTAAGCTGGATTTCAATTTAAGGCAATGCGTTCATATGCACTATCAAATGACGTTCAAAATAATAGTTGTGACCCTGTTTTTTAACACATCCTGGTTTCCTGGTTAATCACCTTACTCCTAACCAAACTCTTCTGATGTCTATTAAGCCCTGTGGCATACTGTAGATCCCTACAGTAACCAACCACAGAATTTACACATGTAATGGAGACTCAATGATATATAGATTTAGCCAGGGCTAAAAGCGAAGCTCTCGATAATATTTAAAGTTTGTTCAAAAAAATATAAAATCGTGTAATGCTAAGCGGCGAAGGCAACGCAGGAGAATGGTGAAAAACAACAATAGCTCTAGTTAACAAAAAAAGTAACTTTGCACGTGCAGCACACTTTTTTTGTACATTTCTTTGCCGTTGTTTTGCACGACTACAACATGAAACTTCCAGAAACTTCTTAGTTACACGTTTTATGGAGGAAATGTCGTACGTGTTTTCGTTCACTTTTTTTTTTTCACTGCCGCTCATTTTCACCTTGCATTGATGGCCGCTGGCATTTCCCATTTTGTCACCGCCGCTACAAAATTTTCATGTTATTCTTCCAAAAAAAAAATTGTCTCCTTTGTTTTTTATCTCTCGCTCTAGATCTTTGTCGCCCTTTTTCTCGTTGAGCTTCACTGGCCTGCCGCCTACTCTCTCTTTTTCTCTGTCTTTCTCCTGCTCTATATTCCAAATTTGTGGACATGACAATTAATCTAAACTAAATACTTTAGACAACACGGATACAGAAACAATTTCCGCTTTCCTCTGATTGACCCTTTAGTTGTGTCTGCTTTACAAGACGCCAGTGGCTATGCGATTTCCCGCCAAAATAACCTCGAGTTGCATTTGGGTTGCCATACCTGTTGATTGAGTTATTTTACATTGGTATGTCTGTGGTGCGGACGGACGGTCGCTCGAGCGGGCGGTCAGTCGGTGTACGGTCACGTGATTACCAAATTTTCTTGGATGGGTAGATTACTTTATTTTCCTACCCATGATGCTTCGCTGGTGCGCTTCATGCGCGAGAGCTCCGCTTTAATCCTTTACCAGGCCCAAGAGCAACTAATTAGG